GCCATTTTTTGGTTGCAGCCATCATTGTTGTTTGGCGGGTCTGGGCTGGATTCGAACCCGCCACCTTAGGTGTATGTGGCTGGCGCCTTAGCCAAACAACAACAGATGTTGAAATGGAGATTGGTGTGAAAGAAGTATACTGGGGAGCACTTTTGGAATTAACACGATGTGTTGGGGGGATGGAAGGCTGAAGGAAGTAAGATTGATCAGAGGGATATGTTGAACTATGGTGCAGTCACAACAGTGCTCAGCCAATCTCATAGGAAGTTGTGGAGCTGAGATGGCCCCACAGTTGTTCCTCACTGGGACAAAGGGGCTCTTTCCCTGAGAATAATTCTCAGGGAGGGACAAGCTATGTGTTACCAACAAGTAACCCATCCAGAAGAAGGGGTAGAATGAATGCTTTAAGCTTGAAAGGGGTGTAGGTAATCCAGTTGGTGCATCATAGCACCCACTCCTGTCCATTTGTGTGCTGTTTGGATCTACTTGCTTTGTATAAGTCCTGGAAGCAGCTTCTCCAGGATTTTAGTGACATCTTTTCATGGGGAAACTTAAAAAAAGTTTAGTGGTATGAAAGTTGTCAGAGTCAAAATGGATTCACTTATATAATTGTTATTATTTTGAGACAGAGTTTCACTCAATCAACCCTGGGGTTAAGTGCCATGATGTTGTGGCTCACAGCAACCTCAAACTCTTGGGCTCAAGCGATTCTCTTGCCTCAGCCTCGAAGTAGCTGGGACTACAGGAGCCCGTCCTAAGGCCTGGCTAGGTTTTTTTTTTATTTTTGGTAGTGATGGGGTCTTGCTCTTGCTCAGGTTGGTCTCAAACTCCTGGGCTCAGGTGATCTACCTACCTCAGGCTCCCAGAGTGCTAGGATTACAGGCATGAGCCGTGATGCCTGGCTGGAGTCACTTATATAGAAAGAAAGGAAGGAAGGAAGGAAGGAAGGAAGGAAGGAAGGAAGGAAGGAAGGGAGGGAAGGAAGGAAAGAAAGCCCTGACAAATTGAAGAAAGAGTTCTCATACTTTGATAACAAAACTATCACATAAGACCGCAGAAACTCCAACCTTGCACAAAGGCCAATCCAATCTTACATAAAAAATACTTCTGTGAGGACATCTGTCTGGCAACTGCTGGTCCAGCCCCAGAATGGCATCACTCTTGTTATTGATCCTTGTAGCCAAGGATAATCATTTCAAAACAATTATGTAATCCTCATTTTTCCTTGAAAAATCTGTCTTCCTTTATCTCCCTGAATATGCACATAGTTTATTATGACAGGTGTATTCCCATTGCAATACCCTGTTCCCCAATAATTATCTTTTTCTTTTAGAGTCTCTCTCTGTTACTTTGGTTGACAGTGGGATAAATCATAGCTCTCACTGCTGCAGCTCATCTCCAGGCTGCAACTGATACTTTTTGTCTTCCTCCTCTACTACTCATTCTCCACTTTTCTTATCCTTGTTCAGTATCTCTGTTGGTCTAGGCAGTTTACCTGGTGTTATGACTCAGGGAAAACCTGGTTATCTCTCCTCCTCAGGTTGTGATTGCTGTGCTTGTAATTTACCATGAAAATTGAGCAAGGAATTAGCAGGAGATTCTACAATGGGTCACACAGGTGCCAAATGTATTCTTCCTTGTCCCTCATCCTGATGATTAGGGTCAGTCATCTCTGCCAGGATGGTGACTCTTTCATGCCTGTTGATCTCTTGGCATGAGGAGTGTGAAGCGACCTGGTGGCAGCTGTAGCTTAAAGTTTAATAGGATTCCCATTAAGTCCCCCAGACCTGGGATCTAGGATTTCTTAGCCATAGAGCTCCAAGTTATAGGGATAGGAAGTGCAAACTTCCAAAGGTTCACTAGGAATGATGGTGACAAGGCAGTTTTATATCTACCTCTTGGTTCCCAGGTTCCCAGGTTCTGTAGATACAGCACCACACAGTGGTTATGTATCCTGAGGTCCCCCTCCCAGGCTATAGACTGGTACAGTTTGGAACTGGGCCACGCAGCAGGAGGTGAGCAGCAGCTCCCCATCACTGGCATCTCGCCTGAACCCAGGCTCCTGTCACATCTAATGCTGACATCCCATCCCTGGGAAAATTGTTTTCCATGAAACTGGACCCTGATGCCAAAAAGGTCGGGGACCGCTGATGTATACTATCCTGAAGGATGGCATCCCGTTCTCACAGTGTACCATCCAAGTCCCATTTAAAGCCTGCTGCTTTGGACCACTTCTGATACCGACTGTTTTAGGTCAAGGTTCTGGGGTAGAAATTTATATGCAGGAAATTTACTGGGAAAGTACTTGGCCTCAACATTTACGGGACGACGGGTTGAAGAAAGCAGAGTTGGCCAGAAGAAGCTGAATTATGATGTAGTCACAATAAAAGCTTCAGTTGACCCCATAAAAGCCTCTGGAGCTGGAATGGCCCTGAAAAATTGCCTCCACTGAGGGAAAATGGCTGGGTCTCTCTATCCACAGTGACCAGCCATTGGACATGAACTGCTCCTGGGAAGCAGTGGTAACTGTGGGCAAGGTGGCTTTTTTCAACAGAAAGAGCTAGGGCCGGGTGAGGTGG